GGCATAGAAATTGAATGAATGAATGAATGAATGAATGAATGAAATCATGGTCTGCCATGATGAGAATGAGCAACTGCAGCCTTGAGCTCATTTGTTTTCTTTTCCCCTGCCTTTGTGAATAAGATTAGAATCTTCTACTGTTAGCTGACAGTGAACTATAGTTTGATACTGTGTCTGAATACCCTAAGAATTTAACCTTAAAATCCTAACGTATGAGATATTATATATAATGTAATTTATTATTATTACTAGTATTAGTAGTAGTAGTAATAATAATATTCCCTAATAATGTGGCTCAGAGTGGTTGGGACATGGGCAGCATACAAATTTGAAGTAGTAGTAGTAATGATAATAATAATAATCCTTATCAATCACAATTGAAGCAATCATGGGAATTCAGAGACTATAACATTCAGGTATAACACATGCTATATTTTGATGTATTAGATTGCAACTATCCAAAACAAGCTATACTCTCCAAATGATTTTATTAGATAAAAAACACTTAAGGACCCACAGGGACTTCTAAAGGAGGCTCTTTATTAGGGCTATACAATATTGAACCTTGGATGAGGGCAAACCAATAGAAAGTCAAGCCCAAGGAGACAAGAGGGTACTTTTTTATTACAGAAGAAGTAATATATTCATGGAGCAAGGCTTGGCTAAATGACGATGTGTGGTGCTATCTCCCGCATGTAGCAGCATCACTGGTAGGTTTGTTTAGAGCCCTTTGAGTGACAATCACCTCCTTGTCAGCTCTATATAGAAGGTGCCCCAAGTTCTTTCTCCTTTCACTGCTGCAGAAACTACAGCATAAATGTGGGAATTATTTGCAGGAAAGGCAGGTGGGATTAAAGTTATGAAAGCATATTATTATTTGTATATACATATTTCTATTTATTCAATACTCAAGTTTTTTGGTGCAACTTAAAACATACGTACATACATACATACATACATACAATGCATACATATAAATTAATCCAAACAACATAAGCCACTATAAGCAGAACAGTACAATCAGCAAAACAGATTCTCCTGTTCAAGCCATATTTAGCTGCTGCTATTATTATTTTGTAAGGGACACGGTGGCGCAGTGGCTTAATGACGCTGAAAGTTGCTGGCCAGAAATGGCTGACGCTTCAGCGGTTCGAGTCCA